CCATTAAAGCTACTTCACATAATATCTTACAAATATATTACTAGTCAAGACAAAAATTGTGCTGTTCTTAAATTATATTCTTAATAATAACAATTCTATTATTCTATTATCATAAACCACCACTTGTCTGTTTGTTGTACAGTGACACCTTGTGTGTTGCTGTGATTCTGGAAGTTATGCCACGGGTATTTTAAATACAAGCAGAGTCACCCACGGTTGACAGGTTTCAGCTGAGCCTCCAGACTATGACAGACTACAGGAAGAAAGAGAGATGGACTATTTCCGAATATTTTTTGACTGAAAACCTTATGAATAGTAGTAGAACACTGTAAGCACCAGAATATTGAATACTGAATAGCACCAGAGTATTGTCAGGTATGTTGTTTTTGTTTTTTAGTGACGTCGAGTCAGGTTGCAACTCATAGCGACTCTGTGTAGGGTGTCCGAGGAGCAGCTGGTGAGCTTGAACTACTGACTTTGTAGTTCAAATCAACCTTGTAGTCCAGCACATTAAGCCACAGCCCTTCAGGATGCAAGGCATTGAGAATATGACTGGGGAAGACATGCCTCCTTAAAGTAAAGGTGACTGTGATAATGCAAATGGAATAAAGCTTTAGGGATCTTCATTTGCTGATGGGGCAAAACTCAACATAAGGAGAAACAGCTGTAAACATCCACTAATAATCAGAATATAAAATGTATGACGTAAAAACCTAGGAAGACTAAAAATTGTCAAAAATGTCATGGGATGCATAAATACCGATACTCTAGGCATTCATAAGCTAAATGAACTGGCATTGGTCATTCTGAATCTGACAATCACATGGTTCACTATGTCAGGAATGACAAATTGAAGAGGAATGGTGTTGCATTCATCAACAAAAAGAACATATCAAGATGTGTCTGAAGTACATTGTCTGTGATAGGATATTACCCATATGACTAAAAGGAAGCCCAGTTAATGCCACTATTATTCAAATTTACACACCAATCACTAAAGCCAGTAATGATGAAATTGAAGAATTCTACCAATTTCTTCAGTCTGAAACTGATCAAACATGCAATCAATCAAGATGAATTGATAATTACTGAGATTGGAATGCAAAGTTCGGAAACAAAGAAAGATCAGTAGTTAGAAAATATGGCCTTGGTGATATAAACGATGTTGGAAACTGCATGACAAATTTTGCAAGATTAGTAACTTCTTCTTTGCAAATACCTTTTTTTAAACAACATAAAAGATGACGATACACATGGACCTCACCAGATGGAATACAAAGAAATCACTGTGGTAGGAGATGGTGGAGAACAAGGCCAAGGGTAGACTGTGGAAGAGAGCACCAATTGCTCATAATCAAGTTCAGGCAGAAGCTGAAGAAAACTGAAACAAGTCCACAAGTCAAAATATGAACTTGAACATAGACCATCTGAATTTAGAGATCATCTCAAGAACAGATTTTATGCATTAGACACTACAGATAGAAGACCAAATGAGTTGTGGGATCAAACAAGAAGAAAAGCAAAAGGTCATTATGAAGACAAGAAAGAAGGAAAATGCCAAAATGGATGTCACAGAGACTCTGAAACTCTCCAGCATAGAGATGCTAAAGCAAACAGAAAAAAATGAGGTAAAAGTATTGAAAAGAAATTTCAAAGGTCAGATTGACAAGACAAAGTCAGATATTATAATGAAATGTGCAAAGACCTGGAATTAGAAAATCAAAAGGGAAGAAAGAACACGCTCAGCATTTCTCAAGCTGAGGGAACTGAAGAGAAGATTCAAGCCCCTAGTTGAAATATTGAAGGATTCTATGGGCACAATATTGAATCATGCAAAAAGCATCAAAAGAATGTGGAAGGAATATACAAGAGTTACTGTACCAAAAAAGAATTTGTCAATATTTAACCATTTCAAGATGTAATATAATCAAGAGCCAAAGATCCTGAAGCAAGAAGTCCAAGGTACACTGAAAACATGGACAAAGATCAAGGCATTGGGAATTGAAATCTTTCAACTGATGCAGCACTGCAGGCACTCACTCATCTATGCCAAGAAATTTGGAAGACAAATTAACTGGCCAACTGACTGAAGATATCCATATCTGTGCCCATTCCAAAGAGAGGTAACCCAATGGAATGTGGAAATCATTGAAGAGTATCATTAATACCATATGCAAGGAAAATTTTGCTAAAGCTAATACAAAAACAGCTGCAACCATACATTGACAGAGAACTTTCAGAGGTTCAAGCTGGATTCAGAAGATGACATGGAATGAGAGATATCACTGCTGATGTCAGACGGATCTTGGCTAAAAGCAGAGACTACCACAAAGACATTTACCTGTGCTTTCGAGTGTGTGGATCACGACAAGCTATGGACAACATTGAGAAGTATGAGTAATCCATAACACTTAATTGCACTCATGAGGAAGCTGTACATGGACCAAAAGGCAATTGTTTGATAGAACAAGGAAGCACACCAAATAGTTTAAAATTAAGAAAGGTGTGGTCCAGGGTTGTATTTTTTCACCACGCGTATTCAATCTGTATGCTGAGCAAATAATTCAAGAAGCAGGATGATATAAGGGAAAATGTTTCATCATTATTGGAGGAATTAACAACCTGCAAAATGCAGATACAACCTTGCTTGCTGAAATTGAAAAGGGCTTAAAATACTGATGAAGATCAAAGACCACAGTATTCGGTATGAGTTGCATCTCAATCTAAAGGAAACACAAATCCTCACCACAGTACCAATAAACAACATCCATATAAATGGAGAAAAGATTGACGTTGTCAAAGACTTCCTTTTGCTTGGCTCCACCATCAACACCGATGGAAGCAGCAGTCAAGAAATCAAATGACGTACCGCATTGGGCAAATCTGCTGCACAAGACCTCTTTAATTGAAGTGTTCCATTTGAAGACTAAGGTGCACCTGACCCAAACCATGGTATTTTCAATAACCTCATATGCATGTGGAAGGTAGATAATGAATAAGGAAGACCATAGATGAATTAATGCTTTTGAGTTATGGTGTTGGAGGAGAATATTACAAGTATCATGGATGCCAAAAGAAAAAGCTAATCTGTATTGGAAGAAGTACAGTTAGACTGCTCCTTAGAAGCCAGGATAGCCAACTTCATCTTTCATACTTTGAACATATTATCAGAAGGGACTAGTCCCTGGGGAAGGATATAATATTTGGTTAAGTCGAGGGTTGGTGAAAAAGAGGAAAACCCCCAATGATGGACTGGCAACGACTGTGAGGTTGGCACAGGACCAGACAGTGTTTCATTCTTTTGTGCATGAGGCTGCTATGAGTCGGTACCAAGTTGATGGCACCTAACAACAATTATCAACAGAACTTCAATCCACTTATAGTACACAAAAATGACAGTATTGTTATGACTGCATATAAATACTACAGTAGGAATTCTAAGTGGCTAGAAGAACCATCAAAATATTAACAATGGAATGGTTTTTGCTTTCTTCTTGATGCTTTGTAAAGAGTTTTTAAGAACTATTTTTAATGAAGATTAAAAAGCAGCAGAGTCACATGAATTCTGGACAACTGTTCTAAAGTCGACTAGGTTTTTCATTCTCTATTTCCTACTTGTTTACAATCATTGACCCAGGACTCCTACACCAAACGTCCAAAGCAGAAGAAAACTATACATATTTTAGATGCTGAGCTACAAGAAAGGATATGAAAGGGCAACACGAACACAATCATTAAAACATTAAGAGTTGGAAGGGATTTGAAGAGATTAAAAGCAGAGCATGAGTCTTCACTTGACAGGTTGCACTCTACCTCAGTGATAAAACATCAACTTTCTTAGTATTCAGAAAGAGCCACTGAAATGACTTTTCATATAGTTTTCCTCCATTGGACCTAGATCTACAATGTGTCATTACAAAGAGTAAACTAAATCCCGCTAGTCAATGACTCCCCCCTTTTATGAACTATAAAAAGTAGCTTAACATGTCCTATCTCCAGGCTTAGCATCCATAGCTCTTGGACTTTCATTCATTCACTGAACATGTTAAAGTTTCCACACTCACCAGCCCCACTCCCCTGGACTGCAACCACTTTGAGCTGGGTAGCTGCAATTTATACAGACTGTTGCTGCTGTTGTTAGGTGCCACTGAGTCAGTTCCGACCCATAGCGACCATGTATAGGGTATCTAAGGAGCAGCTGGTGAGCTTGAACCACCAACCTTGCAGTTCAAATGACTTTGCAGTCTGGTGCATTAACCCACAGCGCCACACCAAGACTCCAGACTGGCACACCCCAATTTTTAAGTATGTATTCATGGGGTGTCAGGAAAATCTCTTGCTCCTTCCTTGTAGGTTTTCAATATCTCACAGTAAGAATCATCTAATGCTAAATATTCACACTTGTCAGTAACAACTTCTGCAAGACAAATCATAAAGAATACTTGCTCATATTTTCCCCTGGAAAGGGTAGGAAGGGAAGGAAATCAGTTTTTATTATGAAACTACCATGTGTCAGACATCAAGGCTATGCTCGTCATTATCCCACTGAAACTTGACAACACTCCTACGACATAAGCATATTTTAACCCATTTTACAGACTACAAAAATGTGGCTCAAATAGGTTAAATATTTGATTCAATATCACAGAATGATAATTCTGGTATGCCAGAATTAGAATCCAAACCTGTTGGATTCCTCATGTTTGTCTGAGATGCCATATTGACTCCTTCCAAATGGGTTCAAGAAAATGACAAAAGTTTCAAGTATGTAATAAACACTTAGCCATAGGAATGACTGCAAATTTTCACTTCCCAAAAATGAAAGTATCTTCCACATCTATTTAAAACAAAATACATGCTATTTGAAAATATTTCAACCAAAAAAAAAGCAATTAAAATAACCTTCTCTAAGTAACATTTCAAAAAAATAGTTACAAATCTATTCCTAGATGAGCTATTTGAAAGTATAATGACCAACAGGAAACTATAAATGAACAAACCCTTTGGTTGGGCTGCTCTGTGATTCTGACGTAAAGATGCACTTCCTTTTGGCAGGAGGATCTTCCTCTTCATCAGAAGAGCTTTCTACTGTTAGGTCAATAACATCCACTTTCTTCTTGCTTGTGTCATTGGCTACAGTCACTGAACAGGGTTTACTGAGAACACTTGAACCTGTATGTAACAGGGGGAATTAAAAAAAAAAAAATCAGGCTAATGTCAAAGGCATTTTACCAAAATCCAGAACTTCATTAAAATTTTCACCTAGATGAACTGAAAAAATTTCAAACTTCATATGTAAATTTTTCAGATATATAAAATTTTTCTTATCAACTAATCACATAGGTTCTCCATTAGGATAGTTTCACACACCATATGCTAACTCACCATTTCAGAGAGAAGTATATTAATATAGACTGTAATCTATTTAGTAGAAAATGAATGCTATTTAAAGTATATCTATGGACAGGTACAGAGTTGAAACCTGAATACATATCCTAGGAAACCAGGGCTGTGAATCAGTTTTTCATTGTTCAGTTATGGTTGACAAGGGGAAATTAGAATGGACCCAAATTTGCAAAATGTGGGTGTATGCTGAAATAATAACCGGAACAGAAAAATTGCAGGTTTGTGCCCTGATAGAAATGTTATCTTCTGAGAAAACAATGGTAGCATATGCGTTACACAGAAATGAATTCTCATAATCAGAAATAATAGCACTCAGTTTCAAAAATGGTGGCCAAGGATGTCGCTGTCCACGGTCCAGACAACAATCCCACCTCGCCCCTCAGGATCCCAAAGGCTCACTAGGCCTCTTCTAAGTCTACCATTGCTGGGCTCTGACCTATAATTGTTCCCATTCATCTTTCCGATACACCCAAAGTTTGAAAATTTGGGCCTACTCCCATTTCACTGTGTTGGTCATGATTAAACCAATCCAAAGTCCAGTAATAAACCAATGCAACAGCCAAATTCCTTAACACAAAGAGACAGAAGGAAACAATTTACCCCAAACAGGTATTATAAAAAGTATTCTGGAAAACTGTTGATCATGTTTAGCTTTTCATTTCATAACAATCACCGTGTTAAAAATAATTTTAGGTGATTATTTCATTTACTTTACAGATTAAAAATATACTATGTAGAGGCTGATTATAAGATGGGAATATAAGTGTTAACACGTTCTTTAAGGAAAAAAAATTTCATTTGGGGAAAATTACATATGGAATTGATTATCAAAAGATAAAAGTAGCAAACTGAGTGCCAAACGGAGTTCTAGTTGTCAAGGTTAATGATAAAAGTAATGCTGTCTGAGTCTCATGGCTTTTCTCTCTGTACATACTTTCTATTTTGGTACATGGCTGGCTCAATACTTTCATAGCTTCTTTCTTCGGTCTCATTGGACACCAAGAACCATCTTCTTGAAATTTAATTTCATCTACATCTGAACAGTCATTGAGAATTTCCATAAAAAGCCTACAAAAGCAATTGAGAAGTACATAAACAGAATCAACGACTTTGTTCAAAGGTCAAATAACAAAGTAATATACAGTACCTGGAGAAAAAATAATGACCTCTGAAATTATTATAGGTTATTTCAATACTTAACACTTTACAACAATTATTATCCACTTCCCACTCCTAGGTGTTAAGATTTGTTTGAGCAGTAAGAGAGCTAAGTGACTTAAATGTGTATCATTAATAAAAACCAAAAAACAATGGCTAAACAGAAACACATACCTAGAACTTCCCCCTTAAACTGTATTTATTTTGTTGTTGAGAATATACACAGGTAAATACACACCAATAGTTTCTATGTGAGCAACTTAGCGACAATGATTAAATTCTTCAAGCTGTACAACTGTCACCATCCTTTTTCTGAGTTGTTCTTCCCTCATTAACTTCAAACTACACTGTTCCCTAAGGTTTAGATCTAATCTTTCCATTTGACCCCATAGAGATAGTTCTTAAAAGCAGAGAATGCTCAAGGCAGACATTTTTTACTAGTTAAGCTAAACTTTTGTTCAATTTTATGAATGCTTCAGGGCATACTTTAGATTTACAGTTTAAAGATGATCTCAGGGCAATATTTCAGGGGTCTATCCACTCTTTCTGGCTCCAGAAAAATCTAGAGTTCATGAGGATTTGAAATTCTGTTCTCTACTTTCCTCTCTTGATCAGGATTCGTTTCTGGAATCTTTGATCAAACTACTTAGTAGTGGTAGCCAGGCACCATCCATGTTCATGGCAAAGGAGGAAGTTGTTCATGGAGGTAATTAGCCACTCCATTCCAATTCCTCCTCCTACTCTTGACCAGGAAAAAGGAGGGGAAAAACAAACAACTTTTTAAAAGGAAAGATTATTAATGTGAAGAAAGGTTTCAAAACATAAAATAAGGACATAGAAAACTGTGGAAGAATTGCTGACAGAAAACTTCCCTAGCAACATGAAAAGACGAGACAATAAGCATACAAGAAACCAAATGAACCCATCCTGGAAAGATCCCAAAAGAAAAATCATCAAGAAATATCATAATCAAACTTTCCAAAATCAAAGGCAAGTTAAGAATCCTGACAGCAGCTTAGGAAAAATGAAGTTACCTACAAAGGATAACCCATAAGACTAAGCTATGATTTCTCAGCAGAAACCATACTGGCAAGAAGGCAATGGGATGACATAGACAAAACTGGAAGAAAAAGACTGCCAACCAAGAATCATATATACCCAGCAAAGCTGTCCCTCAAATACAACAACGTAACATTGAAGAGTAACAATGAATCTGTGAAATGCCTCACAAGATGGATGAACCTAGAAGTAGGTTGTAAATGATGAGTGAAATTAGTCAATCACAGAGACAAATATTATTGAGACCAATGTCACACAAAGTTAAGGCAAGTTTTTCTTAAACAATCTATGGCAGTTACAGGGGGAAGGGAGAAGGAAAATTATTTACAGACTAGAGGACAGACACATGTTAACATCAGTGATGGGGCATGCAATATTCAAGAAGAAGGAGGTTGGCAGAGGAAAGAGGAAGCTATCAGGAGACACAAGGAGGAATGTGAGAGTTAAAATGAATAAAAGTAAATACTGTTAAATGATGATACATACTTAGATTTCACTGTAATGAAGCAAAGTATATGATTTTCTGAATGTAAAACTGATGATCTGCCCTGCAAACCTTAACTCAATTCACAACAGAAAGTTTAAAAGAAAAAGGAAGAAGAAAAAATCCATACACAAATACAATGACTCGGCTTCAAAAAATGCTCACATTAGGTGACAGCTTAAAATGAAAGAGGAGAAAAAAAATCATAGGAAATAAAAATGTCTCAATGATTAGTAGTGAAGTCCATATAATGGAGTGCCACAATGTATAAAATATACCCTAAAATAAAGGGCAAAGATGTAGCCATATGCAACTCACTCTCAAACAATTCAAATGAATTTTTTTATTATTGGGGTGAATCTTCTTCTGTCTACACACACCCCTCAAACTATGTGTATACACACATATAGAGAAAATGTGATTTTAAAAAAAATGTGGCCAAAATATTGCCAACAGTTGTTTCTGGGCCAAAGTTAAACTGGAAGCTCTTTGTGCTACCATTTGCAAGTTCCATTAAGTTTGAAATTACTTCAATGTAAGAAGTAAAAAAGATTACAAAAGTAAAAGATCAGCAAACCTTGTATTTAGAAAGAGAAAATAAAGTCCCACTCACTTTTCATTGCCGTGTTTCCCTCAACAGTAATAAATTCTTGGGAAACTTAAAAGAAAAAAGGGTGTGCAAGTATTAAGAACTAGGTAGGATATTTTTTACCAGATACTGAGTAAAAAAGTAGGCTATAAATCACTATGTTAGAGTATGATTTCAATCTTTTTAATACATCAAAAATGAACTCATCACTGTAGAATGGAATTGTTAACTATAATTTTAATCTACTTCTTCAAATCTTACTATTGACTATGCATTACATACACAATTTCAAAACAGTGAAAAACTGATAGTCCATTTACTGATATAACTGTTGTTGTTGCTAAGTGCTGGCAAGTCAGTTTCAACTTATAGTGACCCTGTATAGCACTTCCAAAGGGCAACTGGTGAGCTTGAGCTTGAACCTTGCAGTCCAGCACATTAACCCACTGCACCACACTAGGACTCCGTTAGGTGCTACCAGTTTCCATACTCTGACATACATAATACAATATGACAGATAATGGATGCTTAAGAGTTTGGGTCAGAAAAACCTGGGGATAGAATCAGCTTCAAACTTACCAGCTGCATAAGGTGACTGTATCCATCCTACCATTTCCTTTGCTTTTTTTTGCTTAGAAATCAGTTACCTTTATAACTACTTCTAAGCAAGCAAAAGAGTATCATTAAATGGACTTCCCTCATCTTCCTGTAGAATATAAAGTAGTATCTTGGAAAGCAAAAGTAAAAGGAAACTACACATCTTTTCACAACACACAAATTATATTATAAAACTAAAAAACATTAATTACAGCTTAAAAATAAGACTAATGCAAATTCTCTTCCCAAGACTAAGACGCAAGGGAAATAAATATATGGTTTGATTGGCAACCACAATCACAATTGGCAACCACCCAGAAGGGGAAGTGACTGAAGAACATCAATGAAGTGGCAACCTAAGCCCTACATCATTCAGCAAACTACTGTGAACCCGGGTGGAGACCTGGTCGGCCAGCAGCGAGGCAAGACCTGAGGACTCATGGCCTCAGAGTCAATGACACAGCCACAGAGGACTAGAATGGAGAGTGGGGGGGTGGGGGTGGGGGATGGTCAGCCAATAAAAAGAGGGCGGACAGACTCAAGAACACCCACACTTGCAGATGATACCCATTTGACCTGCCTTCAATGACTGGATAAACAGAGCTCAAACCGAAGAAGAAAGAAGAGGAAAAAAGCATCATCTTATACAATTTGATAAACAGGACCTACACCTACAAATGCAGTAGCTCAAAAGAGGAAACAAATTCCTGCTGCAAGAACTATTCCCACCCCCTCCACACAAAGGGTAGACAGGGATGGGCAACTTGGACATTGGCTACCCAAAATGAGGGGAGGGATACAAAGGAAAGAAGTGACTGGCTTACAAGCTTTCAAGAGGGAACCTAGATCCAAAGGGCGTGGAGGAAGGTAGAGTCTCCAGTGAATAGTATCCAGCCTATCCAGGAAGGACTGATGAAACAAAATACAGATGGGTCTCTTGTAATGCAATAGTGAATAATTGTTATCAGGACTGATTGTGAGGGTTGGAAATCTAAAGGTGGACACTTTGTAGCAAGGAGGGGAGTGATTAACTTTTCAGTCTAGGAGCGGAGGACCCTAGGACCATCAATAGAGAAAAGCAGAGAGCGGGATCCTACCCAGAGAAGCAGTGAGGCCTGAGATGGAGGCAGAGAAGACAATGTCAAGAGATGGTGTGGCTGGGGACTTGGGATCCAGAGAGGGAAAGGGGCTGAGGACTGTGGTGGTGGTGGTGGTGGTGGGGGGTTACAGGGTAGGATGAGGATGCATTGGACGGATGGTAACTATGCCAATGAAACGATAGATGACAGAATGAATGTAAAACTAATGTTCTCCCATGTAGACTATCACACAATTCACAATAAAACATTTATTAAAAAAATAATAAGACTGATGTTCTGATACATGCTACAACATAGGATGAACCTTAACTCTTGTAACGTGCAATAAGCCAAACATGGAAGGACAAATACTGGATGGTCCGCTTACATAAAGTATCTGAACAGGCAATTCAGAGACAGAAAGCAGGCAGTACCAGACACCAGGGTGAGGGGGAAATAGGGAGCTTAATGAATACAGAGCTTCTGTTTGGGTGACAAAAATATTTTAGAAACAGATAGTGGTGACGGTAATACAACATTGTGAACATATTTAATGCCAACAAATTGTAAACCGAAAAATAGTGAAAATTGTAAATTCTATATTACATGCATTTACCATGATAAAGTTAAAACAAAATGAAGACTGCAAACAATGAAGCAGGAAAGCCACAGCATCTGTACTGTGTGCCAGAGAGCCAATATGAAGTTGTACTGAATGGGGGAGACAGACCAACAGCTGTGAAAAAGAACACTTACCCATCTAATATGAGACTTTCATAGGCAGCCTTTTTGTCACACACGGGACAAATCCAGGTGGGCTTCTTCTCATTCATTTGTAGATATAGAGCAGCATCAAAACACTGCAGATGTGTACAAGTCACTGCACGACATGGGATTGTCAACCTCATTTTTCCTAACTACAGGACAGGGAACACAACACAGAAAACTGTTTCAGAAAGGAGATCAAAGTCTCAAAGGAAACACAGTGATAGAATATTACAGCAAAAGTAAATCAAAATTAAAATGTATTCCCATCAGGATCACTATATTTCACTTTATTCGTTGAGTGTCTTGTGATTGTCAAAACACAATTTCATTTTCAAAATAATTTACAGTTAAAATCCACAGGCAGAAAAAGACACATAAATGAGTCCCCTTCTCCCCTGGTCACCCAGTTCCCTATTTAGAGAGCCACTGTTATCCACCTCTTGCATGACCTTTCATACATGTCCATGCACATACAAGTGTATATTTAAAAAATACACAGTGGCATGCTATACACAATTCTGCACCTTTTATCACATAACACACATCTTGATGACTTGTTCACCTGTATCAGTACATACAAAGCTGCCATCATATAAAGGCATCAATTTATTTAACCAGTGCCTAGTGACAGACATTGAAATTGTTTCCAATCTTTGATCACTACAAACAATGATACAATAATACCTATAGGAAAATTCCTATAAGTGAAATTTTTAGGTCCCGGGAAAGCCTATTTATAACTTTCATCAGAATGACAGACTGCCTTTCATAGAGGTCATACAACAAGGCTTCACAAAGTTCATGGAAAAATCAAAGTTTTCCACAAATTTTTAAAGCCATGACTCTCATATATACTGATTTACAAACAACCCCCCAAAAGCCATTACATTCAAGTGGATTCCGACTCTTAGTGACTCTATAGGATAGAGTGGAACGTCCAGCCCCATTGGGTTTCCCAGGCTGTAACTACTTACAAACCTAGACTGCTACATCTTTCTCCCACAGAGCATCTGGGGGGTTTGAATCAGAGCTTCACAGCAGCTAAGAACTTTAACCACTGTGCCACCATTCACATGTATTAATGTGCTTGATATACATCAACCCTGTCAACTTGTTATATGCTGTCAAGTCTGTACCATCTCATAGCGACCTATGCACACCAGAACAAAACACTGCCTGGTCCTGTTCAAATCTCACAATCATTGCTATGCTTAAGTCCATTGCTGCTTCCACTGTGTCAATTCATAGTACTACTGATTTCTTGGATCTGTCAATGTAGTAGATGAAAAACATTCCATTATAGTTATGAACTATGTTTCTTATAATAAGTGAAGTTGAGCCTCTATTTATTAGTAAATCATGTGTTTCTCAGAATTTTCTATTCATAACCTCTTCTCATCTTCCATTTGGCTATTAATCTTGTTATCTATTTATAGGAGTTCTTTATAGTAATCAGGCTTGTGTGTTATGAAAAAGTTTTACTTTCATACAATCACATGTATCAAATTCTCAATAACCTTTATTATGTAACTATAGTGCATTTTCAATTAATTCCTATGCCACTTGGTACACCAATGGAAAACTTACACAGACCTAGATTAGATCAGAAGTTTTCCTGTATGACCTTTCAAACCACTTTGTATATTTCATTTCCTTCATAGGAAATACTGTTTATAACTACTTCTGTGACATTTTGCATAACTTGTTTCTCCCATTAGATCCTATGCTCCACAAGGACAGGGTTTGTATCTCTATTTGCCACTGTTATCCCACTGCTGTAGCACAGGATCCAGCACAGAGTGTACTCAGTACTTCCTGGCCAGAGACAGAATGAGTAGGAGGCTGGAAAGGGGAAAAGAGAAAGGAAGGGAAGAAGCAAGGACAAGAAGGTCTAAAAGAATTCACAGCAAAATTATAGCACTGCTAACTCTGAGTAGTTAAGACTTTTTCAGTATTTCTTTTTTTCTTTTGTCTTACTTGTAATCTCCAAATTTTATACTAAGTTATTTCAGAATTTAAAAAGAAAGCAATTGAGCCAAATCATCAACATAGCAGTAACTAATGCTTACATTTGATGTGGCACTGTAGGATAAACACTGGAATGCTAACCACCAGGCCGGTGATTCAAACCCACCAGTCACTCCTCACAAACTCTATACATGTCAGAACTAACTCAACAGCGCTTATGCCATAAAGTTAATGTTGTTATAAAGTGCCATTGAGTCTGTTCTGACACACAGCGACCCTGTGTAGGGTTTCTGTGGCTGTAAATTTTGGGGGGAAAGGAAAGCCTCATCTTTCTCCAGTTGTTATGTTATTAATCTTATCTCCATGTTATAGCCAAGACACAAAGTAATTAAGTGGCTTGATAACAACAAAGTTAGCAAGTAGCAAAGCCAAGATTTAAACCCAGGAACTCTGGCTCCAGAGTCTTACTTCTGTGTAAATATTGCCTCTACCTAAGCATCCAAGTAGAACTCTTAAAAAGGGAACTTGGAAATTAGAGTCCTTTATGCAAGTATGTAGCACAATATAAATGTCTAAAGTGGATAAAAATAACAGAATCTGAGGCAACTTCCAATTCTACAAGATCTGCTTCTATAATAATATATTATCCCTTAAATTGTTTACAATCCTATGGTGTTATGGTGTTTTTAAGAACTTTCACATATATTACCTAACTTCATAACAACTCTATAGCCCCAGAAGGTTCCAGAATGGCTGGTATCTATATTTCTATTTCTGAGATTAAACTACTGTGGCTACAGAAGACTAAGCAACACATTCACTGAGACAAAGCTTGAAAGTTTTATCACAAAAATGCAAACTTTTCTAACTTTCAGGGGAATGCTCCTAATCTGACAATATTACAAATGGTGCTAGCTTTTGACTGAATTACTCACCTTGCCCTCTTTTCCTAAGAACTTTTGTTCTATTAGGAACGAAGTTTATTAAATGTCCATTTGGTACTTAATGAGATGATCACAAATTTTGTTTCCTTTTAAATATTATCAATAATCTAGATTTTCTAAAACCACATTACGATCGCATTTCTAGGATGAAGACCCCCTGGTTATAATGCATTACACTTTTAAAATAGCACTAGATCCTATCTGTTGTTGGTTAATTGAGGAATTTTCCATTAATATAAGTGAGTTTATTTATAAAATCAGTGTTTGGAAACAACTCAAACAATCACTAAAAAAGGTTGAATAAATAAGCTACATCACACCCATGCAACAAAATGTCTGCAGTGATTAAAATATGATTGAGCTATACCTACTAATTTAAGAAATACTGTTAAAGAAAAAAAGCAAGCTATAGAACAGTATATATAACATAATGCATTTTTTCAATAAACATATATAATTATGAACAGAGAGTTAAATCTACAAAGATAACATACTATTAGTAGTAGCATTAATTCTGAGTCGTAGACCCTGGTACTAAATTCTTTTTTTTTTTTAATGTTTTTGTTATATTTGGATACTTTTTTAAACAGGTATCATTTTTCAATTTTCATCTTTTGCTTTTTCTTTAAAGTAATACTCTAACTCAGTTTACTGTTGTTTTCATAGACTATTGGGTCTCAAACTTGGTTTCAGAATCCCTTTACACACTTAAAAAGAAAGAACCTCAAAAGACTTTTTATGTATGTGGATTATACTTAACAGTATTTGTTGTTTTAAGGATTAAAACAGACATTTCTGAAGCACAAGAATACACAAGAACGCATTCCATTAGCCAGCAGAGCAATGATATCATCACCTGGCAGGTAGCCCCTGTTAAACATCACTGTATACTCCTGAGGGAATGAGAGTGAAAAAGACAAAGAACGTCTTAGAATTATACAGAGTTTTGACTTTGTGGGCCTCTTTAGAGTGTCGGGGATTCCCAGATATCCCTGGACCATTATTTTTTCCTCCATAATATATCACTCTATGCTATTTTCATTGTTCCTTAGCATTTCCACAGTGTGCACAGTGACAACATTAAAGACTACAAAAGATGACCCTAAATTTAATGCTACTACAGTGTCTTACAGAATTAATAAACATTCTCTACGTGTGTAAGAGTCCTGGTGTGACACTGTGAGATGAAGCACTGGACCACAAGGTCAGTTTGAACCATGAAGATAGTAGTTGAAACTCACCAAGCCGCTCCTTGGAAACCCTACACAGGGTCACTATGAGTTGGAACTGACTCAATGACACTTAACAACAACAAAGGGTCTGAGAAGGCATTCAATACTCATTGGCAAAATCCAATCAACTTCATAATAATGACTACAGCACATTATTTAAAAAGACACTAATGTGCTAAATTCTAATTTAGTCATGTGATGGCTGCTATTTTGAAATGCATTGTTTTTATGAACGAAACCGTTTCGAACCAATGCAACACTTGTTTCTCTTTAATAAAATGTGAAGTAGGAAGTATCCACACTGATTCTCGCTTCGCTGTGGAATCTTCAGTATCAATCTAAATTAAGAAAAAGTTCATAAATAAAAATGGTTCACTTCAGTGGTTGTCAATAGAATCTTTATATATATATATATATACGTTATCCTGAACTACAGACTTTTTCTTTGGGTTTGATAATCACAGGTTCCCATTTTCTAGTCAATTCCAGTTTCATGGAATTCTATTCCTAGTTGCTTAAAGTAAGATATGTGGGGTTTGTTTTTTCTGGGATTTTTTTTCGGGGAGAGTTATAGCTATATGTTCATTTTGCCATTGACGATGAAAAAATAAAAGCTTCAGGAAGAAAGGTATCTGCAAATGCCACTTTTTCCAGGGAAATGCAAAAGTGAACTTATAATCACGAGAATTTATTTTTGCCCAATATGGCAACATGGTATACTAGAAAGGAAACTGGAATAGACTCCGAAGGCCACAAATTTTATTCTTTTTCTACTACTAAGTAGTTATGTTGATTTGGGTTAACTGGGGCGCTGTAGAAGCACTGAACCACAAGATCAGTTTGAACCACAAAGTGGGTGGTTCAAACTCACCAGCCACTCCTTGGAAACACTATTTAGGGTCACTACGAATCAAAACCAACTCAACAACACTTAGCAACAACAATTTCTTTTAGTTTCAGTTTCTCATCTGCAAAATGTGGACAACTCATTTCATGTAGGGTTGCTAAGATGTACATAGTAGGAACTTAAATGGTTTCCTTCTCTCTCTGGCACAATTCTCTCTCCATTTAAAAAAGTCTACGCTTTAAGCAATGGTGGCTGGTCATCAGATGTCCCCAAAATGACATGATGGTTCCATGACTTTTTTTACAAAGTTCCTCTCCGCTGAAAAGGCTCCCTGCCCACACTGATTTGAAGGCTTTCACCTACTATTTCTTACCTCTCCCCTCTTGTTTGGCACTCCAAAAGCACAATTATATCGAATAAGCTGCTTTTTTATGAGTTTGTTTTCTCTCTCGAACTAGATGAACTTTCTGACAACTTCTTAGCAAGTCTTAAGTATTTCCTTCCACAATTAACTCCAAGCAAACATACAGGAGACTCTCAGAGTTACAAATGATTCTCGCACAGAATTTTTGTATAGAGGTACTGAATGAAAATTACTGTCACGTTAAAGATATATTATAAGCAGATTAAGACATCCCACACAATCCTCTAAGTGACAGAAGTCATTAAGCCTGGACCATCAGTTAGCATTTATTAGATCCTAGCAAACTTTATGATTATTTTTCAATACCAATTAAATTCTGATTAAAGAAGCAAACTCTTAAAATAAGAGCACTAATATCTCTAGTATTAATTGTGGCACATTATTTCTGAGACTGAAGCTATTGTCCTTTTCGATACAGTTCCTTGTAGGTTTCCCTTTCTGTTTGGTCACTGCACCACAATATATCACTTGTTCCTCAAATCCTTTTTATAAGAAAATAATTTATTAAAAAGAAAACTCTTCAGAATGTTCTGCTACTTTACTTACAGGACACATCAAGGATACCCGAAGGCTAGTGGTAGCAATTTCACTATCAGGATCTGCAGTAAGTTTTTCTTTAACTTTAAAAAGAAGGAAAAACAATTTAAAAAAATTAATGCTGACATAGGAATGGAATTGTACAAATACATTATCTTAAGTTTAAAATTTTTCAAATTCTTCCAATAAATTAAGAAACCAAAAAAAAAGAAAAACAAAGCATTAGCTATTGAGGTATTAAGAACACAATTAGACTTCTAGTATCAGTTTGAAAAATTACAAAGTTACAAACTCAGAATCCCATATTTAACTGAATTTATTTATTTATATATTTTTTCAAACAAGTAAAACTGCCGGGAAGGAAGAATATCGAAACAGATAGGTAATTACAATTTATGAACTAAGGAACATCAACTAGAGAAAGAACACACACAACACAGAGCACTCTGTGCTTCAATGCCTTCTAACACACTTTCATTACTATTTTTATTAGGAAGTATTGACTTTCTAATAATTGTTAACTTTGTTAGTAGAAAATATTTGTATATTTCCTTTGGCAAGTGAAAACAACTATGGATATGGCAATATAGGTATAATTTATTCTACAATGTACATAGTTACTACATATATAAGGTAGTACATATACTGATCTTCTCCTTCTGATACCTAATTCTCAACACTACGGGAGAAGTCTGGTTAAATCTTTCCAGGCAGTGGAACTGCAGCAAAGGCAAGAAAAACTAGGGAAGAGATTCCTTGCCTTTCAGCTCTAGGCAAAAGTAGTACAGCGCTGTTTGCAAAGATGAGAAATGGCATGAGTATGTGAGGCAGGATACCATCTTCCAACCTGGAGCCTCTTCTCTTTTCTGGTTAAATCAGTGGCACCAGAGATGAATGGGAGAAAAGGATTCTCTTTCCCCGAGAAATGTCTTACTCAATTAAATTCAGTAACTAAAGTGAATTGTTGATCATTTGGGTTAACTTAAGACATTTTCCTCTGCCTATTACAAATTATGAAAGCAAAATTGCAAAATAACTGAAAAGGCAAGTATTATTTATGACTATCAATATTTGTTTTTGCAAGAAGAGCTTCTTAGACTGAGTTTTATTAATGTATGTCCTATTACACAATTGAGGTTGTGAAGACTCAAGTTCCAATTCTCCCATTAATGCATGCATCAAAACTCTCACTATGCGGATATTTTCCTAAATTAGAGCTTTCATTAAAAGGTCAAAGATCAAGCTAGTTGGAGATATAAATCAGATCCCCATCGGAGTGCTAAAAGAAGGGCTTTTCAATTTAAGGGCTCCATTCTTAGAGCAAGCTTTAACACAAAATCCATTTTAGTTTTAGAGTAATTACACCCACATTTTTTGGTACTGGTGGGCATGTGTGCGGGGGTTCTACCCACCACCACCCACTCCCCACCACCCAAACACACACACACTATTAAATTATCTCATATGTTCAGTCTTACAAACATTACTTACTTAGTGCTCTGGAATGATCAGGGTTTCTAATACCTTTCATTTTTAATCTCTGTAATAACATGGCAGATGTGAGCTGTCTTACAAGATATACAGACATGGAGTAATTCTACAAAGAAAAATCTGTATTAAAGGTAAGTGACAACAGTCTCTTTATTTTCATAAAATAGTTGCCTAAGAAACTACGGTTTCTAAAAACAGCATTCCAAAATAACTTCCATAGGAAGGTCAATGACTGGAAGGGGAGACAAAATAAACTCAGCTACTTTAAGAAGGATAAAAAGTTTTAGCTCAACCATATTAAAGGTATTTCTCAATCATTTATCACTTTAAAACATACACGTAAAAGATAACAAAACGTTAGGCCAGTGATCTCAAACTGTGTTACTAGGTTAGCAAACCTAGTGCTTCAGCAGCTCTATAATACAAATGAGTGTGTACATCATGTCCTTTATGTAAGGGAACTCTTATCAATATTGTCACTTGAAATATTAGTTCCACTGCGTAAACTAAGTTTAAACACCAGTGGTCTGAATCAGCAAGGAGCCAGGCTGGTGCAGTGGGTCAAGTGTTGTTGGGATGCTACCTGAAAGGTAATTGTCCCAAGGGATAAAGATGCGGCAGTCTGCTTCTGTAAAGATTTACAGTCTTGGAATCTCAATGGGGAATTCTACTCGGTCCTTTTGGGCTACTATGAATCAGTATGGACTACACAGCAGTGTGTAGGTGGGTTTGGGTCTGAATTTATACTTGAAACCCGAGCTCTAAAATTCTAATTCTGGCAAGAGACAACGTGCTACATGGTCTTAGGCTAGTCACTAACAAGAACCCAACATCAACATTTTTCTGAGAAAAGCTTTGACAAAGTAATTCCTATTCCTAATGAGGCATTTCACTAGAGAAGGGACAGCTACTATAGACTCATTAAGAGATTATAAATGTAACACATATTCATTGGACTGAATAAACAAAATACTTTTAATAGATACCAAAACCAAGTATTTTAAGTATCATTCTTTTAATGTCCTGTAACCAATAAATCCTTTTAATACCTGAATACCCAAAGTAAGCAAATTTAGGTCAGTTAATCACTTCAGTAACAAGGAGGAATATGAATCCTATGATATGGCAAACCTATAAGGGCTATAATGCCTAATCACATATTTCAAACCATGTAACTTAACAATTATTTCAAAATGACTCCTCAGTTCAAATTCCTCTTACTAGGCTTTAAAGAATTAATAATTACTCATTTAATAATGTGATTTAAATTTGCTTACAAGTCCACTTTCAAGATTTTACTTGCTCTTTCTAATAAGCTGCATTGAGGGACTCATCAGTAAGCAACTTTGCCACCAGCTTTGGCTTTTGTAAAGGTTTACAGCTTAGAAAATCTAAGCCGGGAATCTTTATAGCAGTTCTACTCTGTCCTATAGAATAGCTATGAGTTAGAATCAAGAGTGGATTTAAGTAACTATTTTTATAAGATATACGCACATGTTATAGCAACTACTAGTTGTTTAAAACAAGAACAGATTATTTCTAATCACAACATGTGTACATGGAGTCATTTCCTTCTAAAGACTTATCGTAAGTCTTAGTAAATAGCATCACCTACAGTTCCCAGTTCTTAAAACATTACCTAAACATACATACAAACTGCAATTAACCCATCTCCTTAGGAAATAGTATAAATTATTTATCTTTATTTATGTATCTTCTTCCCAGGAAAAGAAGAGATGATACCGAAGAAATCCTAAAAGCTTTTAATGTTAAGAATCTCTACTTCTTCACCCTTGACTTGATTACTGCTCTTCAGAGATGATATACAGAAAACAGAATGAGCTAGAGGTAGTGGTCTAAGAATATGCAAAGTGAGTCAACTCCAGTGAGGCCATTCTCATGCTACCCAAAGAAGAGAAACTTTACCTTTCCAATTTCTGATGCCCAAGAAATGGAAATCTGGTTTGGCACAGCTGAAGATAACCTAACTAAAGATGTAATATTCAGGGGGCGTCCAGGGCGCTTTTGTTCAATCCCATTTTTAGGTGGCGGTGCGTAGCCCTATAATTATAAGAAAAATAATCTAATTTCTCTGTAGTAAAGGAAACATCTTCTCCAAAACATACAGAATGTTGTCTGATTTGGGTGACACCCAGCTATTATTCTGAAAATCACAGTCCTCATTCTAAAGACCTTAATCTTAAAAGAGGAAAATGATCAATTTAAAAAAAACAAAAAAACCAGCAAATCAATTAACAAAATCAGAAAAGTAAAACCACCACCAAAAAAATCTATGTTCCATCATCAAAATCAAAGATGCTGATGACATCTTGCCATATTGGCTATGAGTCTTTTTCCTTTTTATAAGGAAACCAAGTTTTATAGATAAATTTACAGTTTACTGTATAATAAACAGGAGCTGGGATTTATATGTATTAAAATTCTAGGGGCAGGAAAGGAGAATGGGCTTTGGAATAAAGAAAAATGAATTTCAAAGGAATTATTAGCCTCTTGTGAGCTTATTCTGTAAGCTCACATCATCAATGTTCTCTCTACTGCCTATGAGACTAGAAACTCGTCTTTAAAACAGGTCAAGATAACATAATCAATATTCCAATTAAAATTTCATTGGCTTGCTGATTATATATTAATATTGCTTTTTATGCCTTTTTCTACTTTCTTCTATTCACCAAGTTATCAAACATATACCAACTCAACAGTTTCTACATGTACAATTTCACGACACGAATGACATTCCTCATGTTGAGCAACCACTCCCACCTTCCTCCCTTATTAAATCAACTCACTGCCCCCTAAGAGGCCAATTTCATCTGCTGAGTTGCTGTTGCCACATTGCCAATTTGATCTCATATAGTTCTTTAAAAAGCATAATGCTCAAAGCAGACCTTTTTGTTTTTTCAACTACTGTTTGGTTTTAAGAAGACTTCAGAGATGTTTTTGACTTAAAGTTATATCAGGGAAATAGGTTCAGGAGTTCACCCACCCTCCATGACTCCAAAAAGTCTGAGAATTTTAAATTCTGTTCTGCATCCTACCCCCATTTTTGATCAGAATCCCTGTGTGGCTTCTTTGATCAGAATGTTCAGTAATCGTAGTCGGGCACCATCCAGTTTTTATGGTCTCATGGCAAAGGAGTAGTGACGAAGTTCAGTCTTCGGTATCCACAAGGGATTGATTCCAGGACCCCTCACAGTAATGAAATGGTGTAGTGTTTGCATATAACCAACACACATCTTCCAGAATACATTAAACCGTATCTGTTATTTTTAAGAGTCGTTGAGTAGGTTCTCATTCACAGCAACCCTGTCTGCATAGGGTTTCCCAGGAATGGCTGACGGTTTGAACCACCGACCTTGTTTATTCTACATACAGTGCCACACTAGGACTCCAGATCATTTCTAGATAACTTATAATACCTAATACAATGTAAATGTTATATAAGTAACACTTTACGCTCCCTCGTAGCCTTTGAAGAGCCGCTTTCACGACTTATTTATTTTTATCCCCACCAAGAATTTTTGATCGGCCATTGTTTAAATACATGGATGCAGAGCCTATGGACACAGAGGGCCAATGGGTATTTGCTTTAAATAGCAAATGTATTCATTTTAGATTCACAGTATGTCCAATACTCAATTCATGCAGGGCTTTTTGGGTTAACTGCAATTTTCAAAAACATAGTCGACCACTGAATGTGACTCTGAACTATGTAGGTCTACTTATAGATTTTTTTTTTAAACACCGTGTACCACTAAACATCTCTGTGGGAGCAGTTCGTCTCCAGTAAACCGCATGTCACAAAAAGTGCATCTCGCTGTTCTCACATATTTTTTATTTTAACTTTTTTTAAATAAAAAATTGAGTGATAGTTTACATAAGAGAATATCAGTTTTGCACTCATACTATCATATTTCGTTTCATTGCAATGATTACAATCCCCTCCACACATCATCATTCAACAGTATTTGCTTCTATTCCCTCTGTTTTTGTTGTTTTTATGTATACAAAAACACTTAGGAATATATAATTATTTAAACAACCAAAAAGGGCACATTCTGCAAGCCTTCCTCCTGGCCTCCAGCACACAGTCTTTCTCTTTCCATGAGTCTCGAGTCCTCAGCTGCTCCCTCTCTCTGTGTCCTCATCTCTACTTCCATCTCTGGTGTCGCTGCTTCTCTGGATAGGGTCCTGAAAGCCACTTGTGCTCTTCTCCCTTGATGGTCCTAGGGTCCTCTGTTTCTGGATTGTAAGATTAAGTACTCCCCCATTTTTGCTACAAAAGTTCTACGTTTACAGTTCTCTCACGCATTTTTCATTGTGTTTAGGACAGTACCATAAACTTTGCACAATACCTTGGGGTCCATACAAAGTGTCACTAGTGATGCTGTAAGTGCTCCCACAAAGCAGAAAAGTCATGAGTTGAATCATATGAATGAAGACTGAGATCTGCAGCTATGGTTGACTGCAGTTTCAAGATAATTGAATCCAGTATAAGGACCATCATTTAAAAAAAAAAATTAATTAATGAAGTCATTGCTGCAGCTATGCCAATAGGCCTAGAAACTCTGTGTATTCTTTACGAAATACCTTTTTATACTATAATGAAATGCAGCTTTTATAGGAGTGTATAAATACACTGTTGTTGCTGTGTTGTTAAGTACCATTGAGTTCACTGAGTTACTTCCAAATCATAGTGACTCTGTATAGCATTTCCAAAGAGAGGCTGTTTTTGTTAAATTGCCATTGAGTCGGTTCCGAATCATAGCAACACCGTATAGGGTTTTCAAGGAGCAGCTGGTGGGTTTGAACTGATGACCTTGTGGTTCGTAGCTCAGTGCTGATCCTACAGCACCACACCAGGAGTCCAATGGAGCAATTAGTGGGTTTGAAATGTCAACCTTGTAGTTAGCAGTCAGTTCTTATCCTTAACTAGCACCACACCAGGACTCCATAAAATACATATAATATACAAAATGTGTTAACTGACTGTGATATCAGTAAGGATTCCAATAAGCAGTAGACTATTAGTAGCTAGGTTTCTGGGGAGTCAAAAGTTACATGCAGATTTTCAGATGTGCAGGGGGTTGGCACCCCTAGTCCTCGTATCATTCAAGAGTTAACTGTAGTGTTTTTAAAATAAAATTAAAATGACTTAGCAATGAAAACATCAAGGTATTAAAAAGCAAATACCAAATTTCATGAACTGTAAGATGCCACTGATTACCATTTGATTGTGTACCAATGAGAAAGGAAAATCAAGCTTCTAATTATGGTTGTTGTTAGTGACCATAAGTAGGTTCTGACTGGAGGCCAACTATTTTATGCATACATTAGCAAGAAAATAAAGCAAAACAAATTGGATATAAAGAAGAATCTTCTGACTCTTGCTTCACTTAACCATCAGTGTCTTTCCACATGACACACCACACCAAGATAATAGAATTTCTTAAAACTGCATTCCAATCCTCTAATGTCGCTCAGGTTGTTTGTATATCCTCAACAACCCATTGTTGATAGTTCTTGTTAAGTGCCATCGAGTTGGTTACAACTCAATCGTGATCATGTATAGGGCTTCTGAGGAGGAGGAGTTGGTGGAATTGAACTGCTGACCTCACGGTTCAAACTAACCTTGCTGTCTAGTACTTAGCCTACAGTGCCACAGTATGGGTAAATATTGATACACTCTGGAACTTATGAGAATGTATAGGTGAAAGATTTTCAGACAACAGCCAAGATTCATATTCCTTTCTCAAAATGTCTTTATATATAGCAGTTGATTAGGTTCACAACACAACGTAGCACAAATACTCTGGAGTTAGTTAATGCTTTGGGACAGAAGGCAACAGTGACTGCCATGTATTAACTACCCCAGAGAAAGTGTTCACCAGCCTAGATTTCCATTCTCTCAAGAAGACTAGACAAGTGACATGTTCAGAGAGCCGTCCGGAGTGCTGCTGCAGACCTTTATGGTGGTGGTGAAGTGCCGACTCATAGCGACCCTGAATAGGTTTCCAAGGCTGCAAATCTTTATAGGAGCAGAAAGCCTCATCTTTGTACCATGGAGTGGCTGGTAGATTCAATCTATTGACTTTGCGGTTAGCAGCCCAATGTGAAACCCACTATGCTACCAGAGCTCTGTAGACCTTATACAAAAAGATAAAACATTCTAAGCCATGGCACAGTCACTTCATTTCGAAAATTTTGTGGAACATGTGTGTTTACACATCTGAAAGCACCATGTTTTCTGTAGCAATGCCAGGAAGCTTAGGTAGAGCCTCACACATTTCAGATCCAGGCGCCATCACTGGCAGTCACATGATACTGAACAGGTCTTCAGGGAGATCTGTAGATGACAAAATGGCCTCCACCATTAGATCTTTCTTCATGGACAATGGGAAAGTTATGTAGCAATAAGAGTCAAAGGTCAAATTCCGGGCAAAAAAATGTAGATATGAAAAGGCCATGGAAAGTGTCCACAGAGCCCTTCTATAATCCGTGATTTTGCCAGACCAACACATGTGGTCGTCCACTGGCAGCCTTCTGCTCCAAACGGGGATGCTTCTTCCCTCAGAGTTCAGATGTCTGTGCAATTCAGCCAGATAAAAGACAGCTTCTGGACATCTGCACCTTGTTGCCAGAAACCTAAGAGGCAAAATGTCCCACTTGAGTTTTGAACATGGATGGGGACATGTGAGCATTCCTCCCCAACCATATCTACTCAGCTTCTGCAATTTCCCTTTTCATCCCCAGAGGGCTGTCTTAGTTGATTTCAGTCTCAAGACATCTTCCAGGAAAAGTCAGTCAGTGGTGCGTGGTTGCTCAAACCCTACAAAATTCATGAAATAAGTATTTCTCAGGTCTCTAAGTTCACAGGTTGTTTATGTGACGAATGGGATGCTCAACAAGTACACAACGCAAAGAAGTCAGATGCTTTTGACTGCAACAGTCTGCCTGGGCCATAGACTGTCTTCAGTTTGGGGTTCCATTACAGAAGCTGGTTATGGCAGAGCCCAGAATCCTACACTGCAGTGTCTGACTTGTTTAGCTCTCAAAAGTGTACTAATTCCAGTGTGTCTCATGCTCAGTAAGATGCTAAACAGTTTTCTCATCTCCTTTCTCAATAATCGCAATGATGTCTGCTTTGCTAAAATGGCAGCATGGCAAACTGATGGGGTCACTTTTTATAGCACTTCAATTCCAACAAACATACCTCCACTATATAGTCTTGACAGCACTTAACAACAAACAACAATGCAGCCCTGATAAACAGGCCATTCTCCAATATTTAGTGATGATGGCTTTCCTGCTCTTCTATACAGCTATCCTGATTTAGGGACTTATTCACTGGAGACTAAACCACAGTCCAGGTCAACAATTATTAAGACTTGATTAACAGGATCTAACAAGTCCAGAGCTGTTTATCAAGCCAGGAACTCATTGTATTCATCCACATTGTATAGTTCTCAGTTGTGCAAGTCCATATATTGCTTAAACAATGAGTTCTCTATCAAATACCAATTCAATCAAATACCTCATTAAGGCCTGAGTTTAGAATTCTTGATCTGTTTCCAGTCACTCTCCATAATCTCTGCTTTTCACCATCTCCTCCACAGCTCAGACCCAACTAACACAGACCTCCACCACAGAGTACTGCCCTACATATGCGAGCTCTCAAGTCCTGCCTTGCTAGTGTGCTGCTTGATATGGCACCAACAATCTTTCCTGGCTTCCTTGCTTACAGCATAAGATGTTTCAGGTTCACCTTTTTCATCTGGGTTAGACCTCAAATCAGTCATTTATCAAAGAAGCCGCGAATCCCTCTAGTGGAAAGCAGTATTAAATTCAGATGTTAGGACTATTCACTGGTACCGAGCTGTCACAACTTCTAGGTCACATCAGCGTTTATACTAAACCTACATGCATATCTGTTGAATAAAACGTAACTTACAGGCAAAGGAAACAACTTCCCATTGACTTTGACACATAGACTATTGGGATAATTATCTTCTTGAGGGCAACTTGTCTCTGCCAGGCAAAGTCTGCAATCAAAACAAAATAACAATAAAGCAATTCTTAAATAGTGTACTCAAACATGCTCATGTACTTTTAAATGTAGGAAAATGCACACATATTTAGGAAGTGTAAAGTCAAGAAAAGATCAAGCGCACCTTAGCTGAACTTGCACCGTGTAATCTCTCCTTCCACCTGGCAAAAAATCCCTTTGGAAAGACAAAGAAATTGGGTTGAGAAAATGTAATAAAATTTCTTAGCAACATTTCCACTAGAAAAACCATAGTCCTGTTTTTATTCTTATTCCTTATTCTTATTTGCCTATCAATAGCACAAGTCTTCATCAAAAATACTGCAATGAGGATAACCTCCAATTATGTAACTAAAAAGGTATTTTTAATTCATAGTAACTTTCACAATACAATATTTATTTCAATAGGCACCTAATGTCAAATACAGATTTGGTTAGCTTGGAAAAGGAGCACACAGGCTCTGAAAGAATTCAGAAAATTAATCTGTTTCCTTATAGTGCTTCTTAACATTGCCTGAGCACTCTAATCCCCAGAGGACTTTGTTTTAATAAAAGGCCTAGTCACCAGATAGTCTTATTGCTCTAGTATATACTCTCAGCATTAGCAGCTTTTAAAGCTACTCATGTGATTTCAAATTAAAACTAGGATAAAGTAGTGCCCAAAGTCTCAAAACTTCTCTATACTATGGGCAACTTCAAAAGTACTTATCCAATTAAGGACACAGAGCCTCTTACAATAGGCTAGATGAGACTCTAATAGAGTCCATATATAATATCTCTGGCTAGAAATACAGAATCTCAGACCCCATCCTAACCTCCATGTTAGCAATGACAAGACACAATCCATTTAAAAGTACTGTCCCCTTAGTCGCTATCACAAATCCATCTATCTTGGGCTTTGTCAGAGAGAAGATGGTGAGAGATTAGCCTGAAGTGCAGCTTTCCGACCAGTTCTAACTGGGTCAGTCTTCTCACTGTCTCTAGTGTTCGCCAGAAGGCCATATACCACAGTAGTGGCCAGCTGAAGTTCTCAAGTCCCAAGCTGTATGGCCTTGAACACACTCCTTAACTTCTCAGTACCTCAATTTCCATAGCTGCTAAATGTGGTGAATGGCATCCCCTATGTCCTAGAGTTGTTATGATGAGTATGTGTAAGATGAAGAGTTAGAAGATCCCTGCAAATGTCTAAGCCAGAGATGAAGAGCTAAGAGCTATACAGGCATGAATATCACTGAGTAAAATTTAGGCATAAAATCTTTTAAGGCACAAAGACCGATTAGATATGGGAAAGAAGGAAATGAGAAGGGGAGTTTCTAGGATGATGACCATGTTTTGGATTGGTGGAACTGGTCAGATGGACTAAAGGAAGAAGAGGGGAAGCAAGTTCTAGCATTTAGTCCTCATCACCACTGAGTGAAGTAGACATGATCATTCCAATTTTACACAGTGGGTAAGAAGATTCAAGGACATTTAGTAGCTAGACAAAAGGCATAGACCACGAAAGATCTAGCTGCATCAAGTTTTAGATCTTAAAAGTGACATAAAAGAATCAGGGGACTCTGACATACGGATGGGAAACAGTAGATGAAGAATGAGTAATACAAGAATTACTGACCAAGCAGATTCCAATGGCATTAACTGAAATGGGAAACACAGGAGGAAACATACCAAATAAAAATCTTTTTAAGGTCAGTTTAGATTTCAACTTTCACCAATGGTGCCTGACACACGATTTGGACCATAGTATATGTTCAATAAATATGTGCTGAACAAATAAATGAATGAAAGAACAAAAGTAAACAAGCAGATCTGGAGGGAAGGCAATCTCACAATTTTGGATATTTGGTGTCCCTGTGAGTCATCAAAATAGAGGCAGTTAGGACCCCGAGGGAGATGCTGGTGATTTTGCAGACTCTCAACACCAAAATGGATGTGGTGCTACGGGTTAACATACTGGACTACAAAGTCAGTCTGAACTGCAAGGATCAGAGGTTCAAGCTCACCAGCCACTCCTCGGAAATCCTATACAGGGGCAGTAAGAGTCAGAACTGACTCAACAGCACTTAACAAAACAACAAAACTTAACCAAAACATCCATGGCTATCGTTACAGAATAGAAGGAACATGTTACAGGAGTCAGTGGGAGGGACAGAGAAGACAATTTGAGAAGTACTGGTACCAAAATGAAGGAGCAGTGCTGAAGCCAAAAACACAGCCAAACACATCATCAATTCTCGCAAGATGCAAAAACAAAAACAACAATGCCTAAGTCCGAATCTAGTGCAACCTCTAGATCTTACTACCATTACAGGCACAGGGCAGGAATCACATACACAGCTGCTGCTGCGGTGCTGTGGAGTTGGTTCCCACTCACAGTGACCCTGTATAAGATTTCCGAGGCCGTCAACCTTTACAGGAGCAGAAAGTCTCATCTTTCTCCCGCAGAGTGGTTGGTGGATGTAAACTGCTGACTTTGGTTAGCAGCCCAATGCATAACCTACTGCATGACAGAGGCTCCTTGCATACATAGTAATGGCTGTCAAATTTGTTATAAATTGGAAATAGCTGGTGAACTTTAAAACTACTAGTGTTTGGGTTCCAACCTCAAGCGATTTTAATATGATTGGTGTGGGGTGAAACCTGGTTATCTGAATTTTTTAAAGCTCCCCAGTTGACTGCAATATGCAGCAAAGTATGAGAACAACTAGGACAGCATGTAAGTGAAATGACATCATCAGCAAATCCAGCATGGGTACTACACTACACAGTCAGTAAAGTGGGAGGAAAGGGTTAGAATAGTAAATCTTACAAGAGCAACCAGGGCTCATACAGGGACTGAGTCATGATTGGAATGGGGGGGGTATCATGCTAGGATGCTGGAATGTCTCTTTATTACGTGACTAACCAAGGGACGGGAGTTTTAGTCTGTGTTACAGGTCAAAAGCTCTCCAGTATAGATTCCAGCCTGACTAATTCAACCCTATAGCGAGCGGACAGCCACTTCTCCATCTTTGGAGCGAGCATGCCTGAGGGAGCCAGCATTCACCGAAGACCCACCTGAAAGAGGAATGTCATCTGCATTTCCATTGAGGTCTCCCCGGCAAGAGCACCAACGGAGCCAGCCACAGCAGAGAAGACTTTAAGAACTGTTTAACCCTTAGGGAATTGGATAAACCCCAGACATTCTGCTGCTTTGCTTGTCGGGCGTGGGGAATGGGGAGTTAATAGATGTTACTGATTTTGCAATCGTCCATCAACCATCATAGGTTTTATCCCCTGTTAAAGTTTTCAGAAGCTAGGCAAA